AGAACAGTAGAGTATATTTTGGCATATTGTACATACATGCAGTATAACATTAAGGATTTTGATCTTTACTCTGAAAATATTGAGAAAGCTTTAGAGCTTTTAAAATTTAAATTATGTATTTTTATAATTTGCATACAATTAAGTGCACCCTTTTAAAGCATCAATTTAAGGAGATTTGACAAATACATATTCCTGTATAATAACTACCACCATCACAATCAAGATATGGGACTTTTCCATTATCCCCAACATCTCTCATGATCCCGTTTGGAATCAATGGACACCCTTTCTCCCCATGCTAGTCCCGGATAACCACTGATCTGCTTCCTGTTACTAGAGAATAGTTTTTTTCATTCTTGAATTGACACAAATTGAATCATACAGCATGTGCTCTTTTTTGTGTCTGACTTTTTTTTCCCTAGCCAAAAAATTTTAGACTTACTTATGCTGTTGAATGTATATGATGTTGTTTCTTTTTATTGCTGACTAGTATTCCGTTGTGTGCATATGTCACAGATTATGTAAACCATTCATCTGTTGATAAACACATGCATTTTCCCACGTTCTGTCCTTATGTAAAAAGCTACTATGAATATTCATGTGCGAGTCTTTGAGTGGACATATGGGCAACTACCTAGGATTGAAATTTCTGGGCGCTAGGGTAAATGTAAACTTTACAAAAAACTGCCCAAATTTGTCAAAGTGATTGTGTTATTTTCTACCACACCAAGAATAGATGAGTTTCCTGTTACCAAATATCCTTGCCAATACTTGATATTGTTAATATTTTAAATTTTAGCTTTTTTTCCCTTGGTGTGTAATGGTATCTTATAGTGGTTTTAATTTTTATTGCTTTGATGACTGATAATATTAAATGTCTTCCATGAAGGGTGATCAACCATTTGGTCCATTATTTCAGTGAGGGTTTGTCTTTCTCATTACTGATTTGCATTTTGGATAAGAGTCCTATGTCACATATAGCTATAATCTTTGTCTAATGTGGCTAGTCTTTTTATTTTTAGCTTTTCATAGTGCCTGTCAAAGCACAGAAAATTGTAATTTGATGAAATTCAATTGATTAGAAAATCTTTGTCTAAGATTTTCTCCTAGAAATTCTGTAATTTCAGCTTTCACATTAAGTAGATTGCTTCCTGTGCTTTGCAGATGACTTTTAGTTTGATATAGTCCTTTTCATCTATCTTTATTGCTTATGCTTTGGGGGTCTTCTCCAAAAAGTTTTGCCTGTTCCAGTGTCTTGAAGTGTTTCCCTATGTCTTTTTCTAGTAACTTCATGGCTTTTGGTTTAGGTCTTTGATCACATTGGGTTGATTTTTCTATACTGTCAGAGGTAATATTTAGTTTAATTTTTATGCATATGTATATCAACTTTTCTCAGCATCATTTGTTGAAAAAACTATTGTCTGATGTATATTCTTGCACTATTTTTAAAAAAGAATTGACTGTTTCCATGTGGATTAATTTCTAATTTTAAAATTTTGTTATATTGGCTTGTCGGTTTTTATGCCAGTACCATACTATTTTGATTATTATAGCTTTGCAGTATATTTTGGAAACACATATTTTGATGCCTCTGGCTTTGTTCATTTTGCTCATTATTGCTTTCACTATTCTGTGATTCCATATAAATTCTATAATTGTTCTTTCTATGTTTGTTGAGCACTCCACTGGTATTTTGGTGGGGATTTCATTGAATCCATAGATTTCTTTCAGTTGTGTGGACATTTTAAGAATATTGTTTATTCTAATCCATGAATGTGGGATATCTTTATATTTTTTTAATATTCTTTTCAATTTATTATAATCTCTTCAATTTATTTCATTGGTGTTTTATAATTTTCATTTCACATATCATTCAATTCTTTGGTCAAATTTATTTCTAGAAACTTTATTTTATTTTTTGTTACTAGCTATTGTGAATGAAAATGCTTTTTTATTTCTTTTTTTTTTAAACAAGTTTGTTTTTGGTGTATAAAAGTGCTACTCTTTTTTTGTAGATTGCTTTTGTATCCTGTAACTTTTCTGAATTTATGAGTTATAACAGTGTTTTGGTGGAGTCTGTATGTTTTACTACATAGAAAATTAAGGCATCTGCAAACTGGTATAATTTGATTTGCCAGTTTCTTATTTGAATGTCTTTTATTGCTTTCTCTTGTCTAACTGTTCTTGCTAAGACTTCCAATACTATGTTGAATACAGGTAGTGAAAGAGGACCACCTTGTCTTGTTCCAGATCTTAAAGGAAACACATTCAGCTTTTTCCATTTAGTGTGGAGTTGGTGGTGAGCTTGTCATATAGAGCCTTTGTTGTGTTTAGTTACATTCCTTCTATACCTAATTTGTTATTTTATCACGAAGGGATGTTGAATCTTATCAGAAGTTGTTTCTGCATCTGTGAGATGGTAATATGGTTTTTGTTCTTCATTCTGTTGATGTGATCTATTATGCCAACTGATTTAAATATGTTGAGCCTTCCCTTCCTTGTGTCCCTGGGATAAACTCCACTTAATCCTAATATATAATCTTTTTGATGTATATTGGATTCAGTTTGCCAGTATTTTGTGTAGAATTTTTGCTTCTGTCATCAGGGATATTGGTCTGTAGTTTTCTGTTTTTTTCCCCTTTGTTGTATCTTTGTCAGGTTTTGATATAAAGGTAAACTTGGCTTTGTAGAATGCATTTCAGTTTTGTGGAATGGTTTGAGAAGAAGTGAAATTAGTTTTTATTTAAATGATTTGTAGAATTCAGCGGTAAAGCTGTGGGAAACTTGTAATTACTGCTTCAATCTCATTACCTGTTATTGGTCTATTTAAGTTCTCTCATTTTTTTCTTTAGTTCAATTTTGGAAGGTTGTATATATCCAGGGATTTATCTTTTTCTTCCAGGTTTTCCAATTTTTCAGTGTATAATTTTCATAATAATTTCTTATGCACTTTCATATTTCTATGGTATTCATTGTAACAACTCTTTCATTTCTAATGCCAATTTGTTCTTGCAATTATACAACAAACTATTGGCTTTTGTAGTTTGACCTTGTATTCTGTGACTTGGATAAATTAAGTTATTGGTTGTTAATGATTTGAAATTATTTGAACATTTACATGAATTTGAATATTCATCTGTGTTGCCAGTTTTTTGGTATGACGTTATTAAGGATATGTTCTTATTATTCTATGACTATCTGCAGGATTTATAGTGATGTCTCCTCTTTCGGAAACCAGAGGAGTGTGTATATATTTTATATTTACCTACATGTTTATTTTTTTCCAGTATTCCACCATATTTTGTATAGATGTTTTCACCTGGTTTTATTTCACCTCTGCCCCCAGACCTTTTGCTTGCAAATCTTCTTGTTCAGTTCTAGCAATGGATTCTCTCAATATTTGTGTGAGAGCTTTACCTTTGAATCATATTTTTCCCAGGTATATAATTTCATTTTTAATTTTGGTACACAGAGGCACTTAACCACTGAGTCACATCCCCAGCTATTACTATTTTTTATTTTGAGACATGGCCTCACTAAGTTTCTGAGGCTGGCTTTGAACTTGCGATCCTCCTGCCTCAGCCTCCCAAACTACTGGGATTACAGATGTGCACTACTGTAGCTGGCTTAGGTATATAATTTTAGATGTATAGTGTTGTTATTTTTTTTTCAGTATGTGAAGGTTCTTTTCCATTATCTCTGGTTGCATTGTTTCTAATGAAGATTACACAGCAGTCATTTTCTTCCCTCTGTATGTTAATATATTTAATTACACTTATGCTTTTAAGATTTTTTTGTGGTTGGTTCTTATGCATTAGATTATGATGCATCTTTGTGTTGATCCTACTTTGGGTTCATAGAACCTTGAACTTGTGGATTCATAGCTTTCTTCAAATTTCAAAAGTATCTGGATGTTACTTTTTCAAACTTTTCCCCTCCCCTCCACACTGTTTTGGGAACTCTAATTATGTAATTCCTGCTCACTTTTGTACTCCATGCCTCTGAGGCTGTGTTTATTTATTTAGTTTTCAGTCTCCCCCCATCCTTTAGTCTGGATACTTTATTTTACTATTTTTAAATTCATTGGTCTTTTCTTTTGCAGTGCTAATCTACTGTTTATTTTCCATTTTTTTAAAACCTAAGTTATATTTTTCATATCTACAAATTACATTTGGTTTCTTTTTTATATTTTCTTTTATCTTCATTGTGTTAATATTTTTCTTTAATTTTTTTTGCATAGTTATACAACAATTTAATATTTTTTTTTCAATTTGTTTCATTATCTCTATTATCTCTAGGTCTGTTCCTATGGTCTGATTTTTCTCCTGACTCTTCTTCTCAGGTATAATAATTCTTGATTGCCTATGAATGATGTAATAGTGTCTTGATTTTATTTTATTCATTTTTTTGGAATGTGAAGGAAGCTAAATTCCTGTGGACCAGTTCAATCCATTGATACTCCCCCTGCCCGCCAGTTTCATCAGGTTTTTGGAGTAGACTTTACTCCAGGGCTAGTATATTATGCTTATTTGGTGTGACCTTTTTGGAGTTTCTCCTGAGTCCTGTGAACATCAGCAAGGTCTTGCCAGTCTGGCTGATTAGAACTTGAACATATCTCGGCCCTTTGTGAGCTCTGACAACTGCCTAGCTTATAGCACTCCAGCAGTCATTCTTTGTCCACCTCATGGAGCCTCACCTTAGTATTTAGCCAAAGACACCTTCTTTTTTTCTATGTAGCTCCCTCTTTTATGATGTTCTGCACTGCAAATTGAGGTTACCTTGACTTTTCCCACTTTTATTTCTTTTGAATAAAATCATTGAAATTCTGTGGTCTGCTAGCATTTTCTTTCCTTTTAATGAAATCCAGAAGGTACCTGCCAGCAGATGTTGGGATGATTGTGGGCTCACCTTGTTTGTTTTCATTCTGTTGGCATTCTTAGTCTATTTTCAAATGTCTGAAATTAGTTTTTAATGCAATTTTCCTGGTTTCCTAGTGTTTATGGCAAGGGTGCAAGTCCAGCTCCAGTTAATTCAATGGAAGAGAAGAAATCAAGATTGTAGAGTCTGAGACTCAGCAGTATCACGAGAGTCTGTGAAGGAGACTGAGGAACAGCCAGACGGAAAGATGGAAACTTGAGTTCTGAGAAGAGGGGAGTTGGATACCATTGAGGAGTCTGGTAAAATTTAGTCTAAGAGGTACCTATTAAATACAGTATCCCAGAACCAGGAGGGATTTCCTAGAGATCTAGTTTCTAGAAACAAATTGGAAACAAGATGTAATGGGCTGAAGGGTGATGGATAGGCAAGTCTGTGGTTAAAACAATTCTAGCTGATGCCATAAATAGATACTAAAATTCCAGTACTACTTTTACAAGATAGAAGTTAATGTATCCCTTTCAAAGCTGAAGCATTTGGATGTGGCTGGTCAGTGGGCAGCTTTCCTTCCTGATATGATCCAGGGAACCATCCTTCATCCTTTTTGTGTTTGGCTCACCCCCTCATTGGACCTCATCCTTGCAGCTGTCCCCAACCAACTGGTCGGAGAGGAAGCAGAAAAGAGAAGGCTATATCTTAAGGTCTTTGCCTAGTGGAATGAATTACATGACCATGTGTAGATACAATGGACGTAGGAAACGTATTTACCAATTCTCTATGAATAGAGCTATGACATTTTTGGGGGGCAGCAAGTTATCACCACCACATTAGAGATGATGCTCATGAGAAGTTTGCATTGAAAGCCAGGGAGGTGATTGGTTCAAAGCTAAGTCGAAGTAAGGGGTTAAGGGTATTGCTGCTTTTTTTTTTTTCCAATTCCTTTGGGATGATCCCATTCATAGAAAGGGGTTGAGCTTACAAGAAAAAAAGAAGGGGGGCTGCGGGGGAGTGATGAACAGGATGAAAAAAGACAAGGTGGAAGAATGTGATATGCAAAGGCCAAATGCAAGGATTGGTTCAGGAAGGATGAATAACTATTGGAAGGGAAGAGAATCATGTGGGGGCATAATTAGATCTGTGTGCTTCATAATATGAAACACAAGGAGTTCCTCTCTTCTGGCATCTATTTTTGTTTATTTGTTTGAATCTAGAAAATAGGCTAAGTACAGGGGGAAGTGTGCAGTATGAGAAATTTGTGGAGAGTGACAATTTGAAATTCTTCTTGCTCCGTTCAGTAATTATTATACAGTAGGTGCTCTATAAATGTTTCTTGAATCCACTGATAGGTGCATTGCCTTTCCCAATATTTTCAGGATAGCATTTGGTGATTGTTGTGAATAAATAAGAAGGGCTCTTTCCCTTGCCTGTGACTGGACACCAAAATCTTGCTGCAAATCAGGTGCCCTTGATTGGAGTTCAGTTTCTGCAGGTCCACCTTCTGCCACACCAAGAGAGGCTTGGTCCCTGAGAACCTAAAGATTCTTGTTCTATGAATTCCTCCTTTGACATTTCCACCTGTGGCCAACAGCTGCAGAAGCCCCTGAGGCAGGATGGAGGTGGGAGGGGTATGGGGAGGAGGGTGTCACGTTTCCAGAAGGCTGGTGGCCTCTCCCAGTCCCCACGTGGGAAGGAAGTCCCAGCCTTCGCCTCTCCTTTCCTCCTTCTGCTGCCTCCAGTGTAGAGAAAACCAGACCTCGAATTTAACAGGCACCTGCTTCCTGCTGCACGTACTTAGAACCTGAAATGAAAGGTGGGCACTCCGCCAGAAAATAATGAATTGATAAAACAAGCAAACTGGAGCCCTCAGAAGATGGGCTCTGGGTCCTTCTCCCAGGGTCACTTTGCTGCCTGCCCCCTTCCACCCACCCCTCTCACCTTCTCATCGTGTCTCCCCCACCCTGCCCCCCTCCTTCCTCTAAAGCCCCATTTCTCCTGACTTCTCCCCTTTCTGCCCCACATCCCACCCCACCCACCCAGAGGTGGCGGGTGCAGGCAACCCTGCAGCCAAGGGCTCGGGCAGCTTCCCGGTGGCTGCTGTTCCCTGTTATTTTCATTCCCCTGTAATTCGAGGGGACAGGTGAGATGTGCTTCAAAACACTGTAATCATATTTTAAATGGAAATGAAATGTGTGAATTAAATGTAAATTACAGTAGAATGGAAGGACAATCACTATTAGTTAAGGTCTGACACCTATTTTTGCAGACCTTGCCCAAACGCCACCACTTGTTTCCCCACACGTGTGATGAGAGGTTGTAATTACGTGGCAGCTGCTCCTGCCGCTGGACTGATGCTAGTTGCTGGATCATTTGTGCAAAGGGGGTCTGCACGTGGGGCTGCGTATGTATTTTAAATAGATATGGACTGCTGTTGGTACTGTAAGATTACCCAGAAGAAATGATATTTTTATACAAGGGGCCGTGAAAAGAAACCTTTTTCTTTCTTTCTTTTTCTTTTTCTTTTTTTTTTTGTTTTTCCCTTGGAAAGGTGAGGTGGTAATATAAAGGGACACTTTTATATAGTCAATTTATTTACGGATTCTCCATTTGCTTTTATATTGGAAAAATATGTGCTGTGCCAATGAGTTGCAATTTTGCCCTCAATCTTGGTCTGCCTCCCTCCCACCCAGTGCTGAGATCCTTGCTGGCTCCCAGTGGAGCCCACACATATAACCATTCATTGGAGTGTTTTTTTTTTGTAAGACAGTACCAGCTCTTTGTTATAATTCCTTGCATGATGAAGGGAATCATTTTATTAGCTACCTATCCAATACCATGACAAACAACAAAAGAGATTTTTTTTTTTTTTAAATCACTGCCTTCTAATCAGTCCATTTTCTTGTTTTGTTTTGTGTGGACAAAATGACAGGCTGATTGGGGACCCTTTCAGACTTTCTAAGCCATTGTCCGTGGCGTGTTGCAGAACTCTCAGGGATAAGTATAAATCTGGATAAACTAGATAAGGTCAGAATTATGGGAAGATCAGTAAATCCATTAAAAAGGGATCTATTTACATGCCCATTGTTGATGCTAGTCTAGTTTGCTTCCACTGAACTCCTCCGACTCCATTGGAGCGGTCAGCAGATAATATATGTTGAATAATCATGTGTGTCATTGGATTTTACAAATCTTGCATTTTTGAAGCAACAAAGATGCAAGCTCAGTCGATATTTTGTTTTCGTGGACACTTGTAATTAAGGTATAATGTCTAGCCTGTGATAAACAAAGATTCCACCCTAAAGAGCCTCTGGAATCTAGCCAGTCTCTCCCCTGCCCTTGGCTTTGGACCAGCTCCTCCTCCCTGACGCTCTCCTAGGTCCCGCAGAGGGCTCCAGAACCCCACACTCCACACCACTGCCTGAGCTCCTGCTCTGAATGCAGCTCTGATCATGTCACTCACAGCCCCGATGACAAGCCTCCAGGGGCCCTGGTAAGGCAGGGTCAGGGTCCCTCCTGTGGCCTCTAGAATGCTCCAGAAAGTCCCCTGTGTTAAAGGCTTGGTCACCAGCCTGTGTGCTACTAGGAGATGGTGGAGGCATTAGGGGATGGGGATTGTGCCCTTGAAGGGGATATTGGGATCCAGTCCCTTCTTGTCTCTTTCTTTTGGTTCCCAGCTGCCATGAGGTGAAATGTTTGTTTAAACCATGCGCTCCCAACATGAGGCACTGTGCTGCCACAGTCCCAAAGCAATGGGGCTAAATGAGCATAGACTTAAACCTCTGAAACTGGGAGTCAAAGTAGACCTTTCTTCTTTTAAAGTTGATTTATTTCAGGTATTTGTTACAGCAATGGGAAGCTGACTAACACCCAGGCCAAACCAAGTGCCTGGTTGCTGTGTTTCCAGACATGTTGCCTGTACCACCCAGATCATGACTGACTTTGTACACACCCACCTCTGGTGTGGGCCCACAACACAATGCCTGGCCCCATGAACATGACTCCATAGAATTCCACAGTTAATCAGAAGTTTTGTAAGTGGTGATCATTTTTTTTTTTTTTTGGATAAGTGAAGGTGCTAAAATAAACAAACATGAATATATGCTAACTGTTGAAATTCCTGTTTTCCTCTCTTGCTGACATCATCCATCTTCATTTTTAAATAGAACACCAAACCACAGTGCATGACAAAATGTCACCCACATCCAGTGTCTTGCTTTTTATTTCATTGTATCTCCCATCACCTTGTCTGTGCTCCTGTGGGAGGAAATCAGTTGGCAGCCTGCGTTCTGAATGTGATTCTGATGGTGGTGCTGGCTTCCCTGCCACAGAACCTCTGTCTTGGTCATAAAAGAATTGATTAGGGATGGGCCAAACGGACAAAAGGAGAATTTCCATGACTTTGCAGGAATAGTTGAAAGGAGAGGGGTGGTGTTTCTGAAGGTCCCCTCAAATCTGATTTCTTCTCTACGAAATAGAGAAGGTGTTAGGATCAGCACTGTGTAAATGAAGACAGTGGTTCAGAGTGATGATCCCAATAAGAGAACCTGAGATAATGAGGGATTATGTAACCACAGCCCTGAAACCTGTGAAGTTCCAGTAGATGGCGGCCTGTCTGACAGCTGTCCAAGAAGCACCCTTGTTTTGAACCAGATAGATTTGGTGAGTATCCCATGAAAACCATTGTCCCTGTGCAGTTTATTATTAGGAGGCCTGGGTGTTTCCACTGAGGACAGTAGTTCTGATTAAGGTCTCCTGGGGGTGCCGGGGTGAGGTGTAATGGGATCAGGGAAGCCCATGCCTTTGGCCATACCAAGTTGCCAAGTGTCCTTCTGATTCCGACTAGAAGTCAAGAATGTGCAGCCAACCCCCAGAAAACTCAGCCACCAGATCAGCTCTCTCTATGAACACAACTAGACAGCCTCTGCAAAGCTGGGATTTATACTGGTAAGTCGTGGTCTCATGGGGGCCCAGCTCAATTTGTGCAGAAATTCCACCAACGGTGGAGAGTTGATTTAGTGTCAGAAAAGGGTATTTGAAACAAGTGCGTTTTCCTTTACGAGTCTTTTAACATCAGGAGAGAAATACAGTTGATTGCAATTGATTTGTATATGTGGCTCTTTGTGTGAAGTGTCACAGCATGTTTTATAGGAAGACAGAAACAAAGAAGGGGAAGAAATCATTCTTCTGGAAGATGCAGAACGGAGGGAACAAGCAAAAGCATCTTCCGGGACACGGTTTGGCTCCCCAGGTGAACATGCTGGCTATCTCTGCTCAGCTGCTTACTTGCTCTGTGACCCTGGCAAGTACATTGAGGTCTTTAAGCCTCAGTTTCAACATCTGTAAAAGGGGAATAACTATAGTGCTTACATGATAGGCCACAGAGTTCATGAAATCAGTGCATCTGGTGGTCTGGATGTAGTGTGTGCTCAATAGATAATACAAAAACGGAAAAGAGCACAAGGATTGGGATTGTTGTGGGGCAGAGAGGCCTTGGGAGTCAGCCATCCAACTCTTACTTCTCTTGAGGTTGAAGCTTTTGCAGTGATGAGGTGGGGGTCCAGGCATTCTGTCCCAGACCCCTGCCAGGTGCCTTTGTGCCTTCCGTGTCATCTCCCTCCCTAAGAGCTACTTCCAGGAAATGGCCTGACAATCGTTCATCTTCCTTAAACATAATAGTCTAAGGACAGTTTAGAGAGTATCCCACATGGGAGCACCCACAAGAGAGGTGTTCCTTTCACGGGTAGAGCTCTTTATAGTTTTCAAAATATTTTCACCCGTATTACTTCATTTAACTTTCTCAACAATCCCAGGAGTTAAGGTGGGGGTTGATTATTCCTACTGAATAAAATGAAATACAGACATAGAAAGGTAACTTCTCTCAATTTGTATTTTCATTTCATAAATAGAATTTGAGGTTTGTATCAATGACTCATCCAAAAATGACACAATTAATAAAATGAGAATCTGGGACCAGAAAAAATGTGCTCTCTGACTCCAAATCCAGTACGTTTGAATAATCACAAAGAATTTTGAGTCAAAGAAAATACGACTTGTGGAGTTTCTGCATGAGTCCATAAATCAGAGCTGGGTCCAGTGTCTTTGCTCTAACAGTCTTTGGAAATCTGTCGACAGGAAAGGCCTATAACCAGCAAGACTTATTACACCAATAGCAAAGGTTCAGATTTCTCTTGGTCTTAGGCTTTCTGAATGTGTCTGCATATTCCTTCACTATCTCTTCCACTAAGATGCCTGTATTGGTTATCCACTGCTGTGTAACAAGTTATCCCCAAATTTAACAACTTCAGACAAAACACATATGGTATCTCACAATTTCTGTGGATTGGTGTTTTAGTGAGCTTTTTTGCTGCTGTGACTAAAGAACCTGACCAGCACCATTATAGAGGAGGAAGAGTTTAGGGGCTCGGGGTTTCAGAGGTCTTAGTCCATAAAAGGTGGGCTCAACTCCTCAGGGCTCCAGGAGGCGGGAGAGGGTGGCAGAAGGAAGCAGCTCACATCACGGTAATCAGGAAACAGAGAGAACAGAGAGACTCCACTCTCCAGATACAAATACATACCCAAAGCCACCCCCCAATTCCCACCTCCTCCAGCCACACCCACCACTTCAGTTACCACGATTAACTCACAGATTGGGTTAAGACTCTCACAATCCAATCGTTTCTCCTCTGAACCCTCTTGCATCGTCTCACACATGAACTTCTGGGGGACACCTCATATCCAAACCATAACAACTGGGAATCTGGGCATCACTTAGCTGGGCTGTCTGCTTTGTGGTCTCCTATAAAGCTACTTAGGGTCGGCAGTGCCTGCTGTTTCTTCGAGCTAACCTGGTGCGTATCAACTCCCAAGCTCATCAAGTGGTTGTGGGTAGGACTGAGTCTCTCCGCCCTGTTTCCCTGTGGTTGTTGACTGGAGCTTTCCCTCAGTGTCTTGTTATGAGAACTTTTCTGAAAGAGAGCTCTGAGTATGCCTAGCTTCATGGGTGGGCGAGAGAGAGAGAGAGAGAGAGAGAGAGAGAGAGAGAGAGAGAGAGAGAGAGAGAGAGAGAAAGGGGGAGGAAGTGCCAGAACTAACAATCTTTTGTCACCTAATCTCTGAAGAGATATGCCATCATTTGCTGTAGTCTGTTCATTAGATATGAGTCATTAAGTCCATCCCACATTCGAGGAGAACAGATTTTACCAGACGTGCATATTAGCAGGTGGAGGTCAGTGGGGTCCACCTGGAAGTCGGCCTGCCACAAGCCTTCCTTTGTATGGAGCCAAATGCTAACAACTTCACTTGCCAGTTTCTATTTTGGAATTGCTAGCATATCCTAATAACTCGTGGTAGCAGTTGTTGAGGGTGCTAGTCCGACTTGAGCCCCTAGCCAACCAACTCTATAATGAAGCAAACTGAATTAGGTCTAATGGTATATCACCAGTATCCAAAGTTCAGCAGGAATGAATGAAAGGAGTGTGCCTCTGCATTAGGCGAACTTTCAATTCTTGTGTGTGTGTGTGTGTGTGTGTGTGTGTGTGTGTGTAGGGAGGTACTAGAAAATGTACCTCTGAGCCACATCCCAGCTCCATCTTATTAAAAATTTTTAATTTGAGACAGATTCTCCCTAAGTTGTCAAGGCTGGCCTCCAACTTGTGAACCTCCTGCCTCAGCCTCCTGAGGAGTGGGCCACCATACCTGTCTCCATTTTTTTTTTCCTTCCCCTCAAGTGTTTCTGATGATGTATAAAAGTACAGGACAAACTCTTCCAAACAATAATAGGGAATCTCTTGTCCTTGTGTTACCAACTGGTGGCAAAGGTCGGGTAGGATCAAATCCAGGGGTGTCGATGCTGATGGGTCCCCAGGTGGTGAAGATCGTACACAGAGAGGACAGCCCTGGCTGCCTGGCCCAGCTGTCATTCCTAGGGGGACAGCTCCAGACAGCCTTGAAATCAGAGCCTATCGTGGCTCAGAAGTGTTGGGTCCCACGTGCCCAGACTCACACCATCAGTTTGGCAAGTTCATTTTATTTTCATTCATTTAATCGCTTCTGTCAGCTGTTTGTTTTACGAGGAGTTAGTTTCATTAGCGCTACCAAAGCCCATGTGCTAACCCGGAACACTGGAGCCTCGGGCTGATATCAGTTTTTCCTCCAGTGTATCAGGCAGAGCAGAGAGCACATAAAGCCCTCCTGGCTTGTGCTGCCCAGCATGGACTAGCAAGTTCATTAAGCCTTCATCTGTAACCGTGGCACTTCCTTAGGTAAAAGCTACTGCTGGCTCCCTGTTGGTCTGCAGGAAATGCCAAGCTCATGGGCATGACACAATCTGGCCCTCACTGCCCCGGCAGGTGCCTCTCCAGCTGCCCGTCTGGACCTCCTCTCCACACAAGGGCTAGCAACCTACCCCACTTGAAGCTGCAGGAACGAACCATACACTCTCTGGGCTCTGTTCTTTGTTCATGCTTTTCTCTCACAACTCCCTTTGCTTATCTCTGCTCAGCAACCTCCTATGCACTCGCCAAAGCCCAGCTCAAACGCCCACGCGCTCCTCAGTAACGTTCCCTGGCTTCCTCCTTCCCTTTAGGTTGCAATGCATGGGCAGACAGCAGCTGCCGTCAGCATCCCACCCTCCTCTCCTTGGCGCTTACCATGTTTGTCTATGCCAGCTGGACTTCCGATGGCCAGCACCCACAGTCCTTTATCTGGGGACTTTCTCTGTTGGCCCTCTCTGCCCATGTACAGGATAGATTGTGCCAGGCCTTATGTCTGTAGAGCAGCTGATGGTTCCTCAGCCCCTGGGCGGGTTCTTTCTGAGGTGCCTATTCTACAGTGAAGGTTTCCAGTGGAACCTGAATCTGCTGTCCACAGTAGAAACTGGTAACAGTGCACCCTGGGAGGCTCCCTAACCTTCCCTGCGGGGCATTCCCAATTTTACATCCATGACTTACATCAATCACCTCCCAAATAATCTCTTTGTAGCTGAATCTTTGCTGGCAGGGTCTGCTTCTGGGGGCATCCCAACTAAAGCCAACCTCATCTGACTTTGTGGGTTCTCTGTTTATCACCGTCCCTGGGATATTACATTTGTGCTGCCTCTCCACCATGACCTCCATGGGGACAGGAGCCCTCAGCATGCCCAGGCTTAGTGCAGTGCCTGGAGCTCACTGGGTGCTCATCCTCTACTGGACGATCTTGGATTCACCTTCCTAATTCTGAAGTTTTTCAGCTCTCATGGAGCTGGGTGAGCTTAGGCGTCCTTCTTGCACCAATGAGTGGGATGGCCAGACCACTTTGGCGTCTCTGCCCACTGTGGACTCTGCCTCTCTCCGTGGTTCTTTGTGGCCAGATGTTTTCTCAGACTCTAGAGAGCCAAGCGACAGCAGCAGCCCCGTGCCTCCCGCTCTTTATGATCCCTGGTCTGGTGTAGCCTCCGACCTCAGCTACTCCATCAGGATTCGACGGCTACCCAGGAGAAATTGGGAGGACAGTAAATGAGCTACTGGAAATAATCCCCATCCTGCCAAGTGCTAAGGCCCCAGAGAGAGAAGGAGGACAGATCTGCTGGGTCACGGTGGAGATCAATTAGATTTCTGCTGAGCTATGGTCACCCATGTTCTCTGGTGGGGTGGGGGACTTGGCAGCAGAATTGTTACCCTGCTTGGAAGAAGAGTGTTTAAACAAGGAAAGGGGTAGAGATGGGCATTTTGGAAAGGTGAATAAAGTCCTCAACAGAAAGTCTTTTTTTGTTGTTGCTGCTGCTTATTTATTTAACATGTATCAATAATGCACGTTAATGGGATTCAGTGTGGTATTTCCAAACAGGGTAAATCGATCATATCTGAATATTGTTTTTCTACCTTTGCCTCCCCCTCCCCCTTAGCACCTGTTCTAGTCTCCTAGTAATCACTATTCTACTTTTAGATCAATTTTTTTTTTTAAAGTTT